TAAGGTGGAGTGAGGCATTCGGCGTCTCATGGCAAAAAAAAGCCCTTTTTCTTTTTCCAGTTGCCCACGTAGCATCACAGCGGACTCCGGCTCACACAGCGACACTCCTCCGCTTTCACCGCCGAACCTCAAGAACCCACCGCCAGCTACACACCTCAGCGCAGCTCCGCCGAACCACCGGTTCTTTTCATCACCTCTAACAGTGGCTCCGCTTTCGCCATTTATTCTCCCCGTGTGTGAGACTGTGTGTCGGGTGTCTCTGCTTCGCTTTCTCGCTCTCTCTCTCTCCCCCCCTCTCCGTTATAAAGACGTCAGTCAAACTGTTGAGGAAAAGGGTTTAGTTCTGATTTGACCCTCCAGGATTTCCGTAGCTAAGATTTGATTGGCTATCGAGGAAAATTCCTGTCTACTATTGGATCTAATTGCGAGAGGTTCAAGGACTGTGGGAAATATTAGGCTTTACTGCTCAGGGCCGCGAAAAATACTTGCAGGGCACACGGCAGCTGGAGGAGAGGGGTCCAAGGACTTTCAAAGATTCTTTTAAAATTTAAAGAATTAAAACTATCGAGTCAACAGGTAAAGCTAACAATTCTACCCCCCCCTGTAAAAACCCATTTTGATGGTTTAGTGTAAACCACGGAGTAAATCAGGTTTTGCACAATTAAAGACCACACTGTAGACCAAGAAGTATGTAGTTGAAGCATTTTTAGGACCCGGCATTTTTAGGATTTTATCACATTAATCGTGGACCTTCTCGCAGACCCAGGAGCAGCCTGGAGCTCTTCATCATCTCGGCACATGTCCCGGTGTTTATGCTGCTGCAGGTTAAAGATGCTCATTTATTTATTTCCCCGTGGAAAATAAAACGTCTGTAACAACACATTTGTCAGATTTGTTCTATTGAACAGAACACAGTTGTAGTTTCTCCTAAATTAAAGAATTATTAGGGATTTCAAGCCCCTGTAAAAAAAAATTCTTCTTCTCTGATACTGTACACAGTCACATCAACACAAGATGGCGACCGCTTTAATACTTGACCCTAACCTTCAAAGTTATTACAGTTTACCACTTTCTGCGTTGTGGGTTAATGACAATAAAGACAGACTGCAGCTCCAGTCCAAATGACACCAAAAATGAAACATGTTGACAGTCCCTGAGACAGCAGGCTGCAGGAGTCACAGGTGATGTGGGAAATACAACACGATTGCAAAACTTTATGAGGCACAAAGATCAACAAGGCAGTGAAGAGAGCAGTCTGGACCAGTGTCAGCGCAGAGACCAAGAGAGTTCTTCATCTTCATACCTTCTGATGCATGAAGTTACACTGGTTTTCATCCACTTTCTAATTCTTTCTAGGGCCACAGGAGGCGTTGGTAAAGTTAGAGTGAATCCTCATGAATTTGAAAAAACAAAAACAAAAAAAACAAGTATCTGGAGTACTACAGAAGGACTATCAGTTACACCCCTGGGAATCAAACAGTTGATCTGATGTAAGGTGAAAAGCATTATTGTTTTTCTGACTATGAATTTTTATTAAATATAATCCTATATTTACTCCACTGCTAATTATAAATAGAATAAAGTATACACATTCCAGGCTAACTTCAGGCCACTTAGTTAATGTTAGCTGTCCATGGCCAAATTTTGAGTTTTTATTGCAATAACTTGGCTAAATATCCACGTACGTTACATATGCAGCAATTTTTGTTTTCAAATCTAAATTTAATTTACTTTTGTTTTATTATTGACCAATTGTTACCCATGTTCAGGCTAACCAAAGATTATGTTTTGGCTAGTTACTTGATTTTTAGCTTAGCCTTTTTTGGCTAAGTTTTTGACTAACTCTGGTTTGTAGTATTCATGTTGTAAGATTACGTCCATCTTTTTGACAGTGTTATTTTCCAACTTTCCGACCTTGTCTTTGATGTAGGGAATTTCAAGGGCAAACATCTGACATTTTAGAGACATTGTGTTCAAAGTGCTAATTACTAAAGCTGCCTGGTAAAAGGACCAACAGGACTCCTCTGCTCAGCTCTCATTTTACTGTGTTTCAGTGAAATCCAGTAGTATGATGATGACGTTTCCTTTTCGTGTAATAACTGCTGAATCCACTTCACAAACGTTATCTTTTGGCTACTTAGTTCACGTTTAAGGATTGTATTCTCTCTTCTGACAACAAACTCTCCTTAACTTGTCAGACTCTAGCTTTAAAATTAATCTTCTCGCTTGGCCCCGGGGCCTCTGCTCCTCCAGGTCCCCATCAAACTTGATTCCATCAGAGACAGAAACCAATCTGCGCCTAATTTAAGAATCAGATTCTATTTTAAAACTCTCCCACTGAGGATCCGTACCTCTAGCCTGCAGGAACACTGCGTTCACTTCTGTTCTGCTGCAGAATAAATAAGATTTTATCACATTAATCGTGGACCTTCTTGCAGACCCAGACCCAGGAGCAGCCTGGAGCTCTTCATCATCTCGGCACATGTCCCGGTGTTTATGCTGCTGCAGGTTAAAGATGCTCATTTATTTATTTCCCCGTGGAAAATCCTCCCGCTCCCCCCGCAGCGCCGACAAACAACCGCTTATCTCCTCTGTCTCTGAGCTTTATTTTTTAAACAGCTTCATGTTTTTCCACTAATACACACAGCGACTTAGCAGTGTTTCCAAAGGCAGCAGCAAAGTAATGAATAAAAACTTAAGCAAGGTTCAGATCAAACTGTCTGTCAACAACACTAAAAATAAGAAGGAAAAATAAACACGAACCTGAGACTGAAAAGAACTCAATAGATTAGATTAGATCTCCTGCTGCCTCACACGTCACAGCTCACTGATGGATCAACGGCTCCTGTTCGGTGAAATTACAGCGTTTCCTTATTTTCTTATGTTTTCATTAGTAAATGTTTGAGATTTTCACCTAGGAATAAAAGCCTGGACTCAAACAGCTGTGAAATGGAAACTGAGCAGGGGAATAAAGTGAGCAGTTAGTCAAGCAACTTAACCACGACCTCCACCTTGTGGCCTGAGAATGGTATTTGTTAATGTAAATGAAATACATTTGATCCATTTTCAAACATCAGCTCCAGTTTTTACTGTCTCCTACTCTACAGAACGAGTTAGCCTGAAAGACAAGTAAAAAACTGAAATAAAGAAATTAAGTAAATGTTTTTATTGATTTTATTGTTTACAAACATGTATGATAATAAACCTACATTTCCCTTCATTGATGACAAATAAAATATATATTTATAATCTGAGTGGCTGTGTCTAAGGTTGATATACAACAGGGTTGATATACAACAGGAGTGGTCCTGGAAAATCAAACATTTCAAACGTCAAGACTCGAAACTCTTCAATTCATCCCTGTATCTATAGGGGGCAGTGTAACAAAAGCTACAGATTTACTGTATCATTGACTGGAGGCTTCTATTTGTAACGTCCATTCCTGTTGTATAGACACCCAGTGCTGTGCAGCGCCACCTCTGGACAGCTGACTTTAAAACGTAATCAAATATGTTCAGGTAGCACACAGACTGTGAAATACATCAGCCAGACCCGCTGGTTACAAACCATTGACAGGAACGGCTTCATTACAAGCTTTCAATGCGTGGATTCACCAGCAGAGGCGCCAGTCATCGTTAGATGAGGAAACATTTCACCAGTGTAGAGTGAGAGGCAGAGAGTCGAAAACAAGAAAGAAAATCAAAATATGTGTTTGATGACATTGTCAGCTTGTTTCACTCAGTCCTGTGTGCAATAAACATGTCAGAGGTCATAGGTCACACAGACCTGACAACTCTGACCTACTTTAACCTCATCCCCCTGAAGAAGGCCCCCTACGGCCAGGTCTCCAGGTGCAGGTGCCTCCTCCATTGCCACTCAGGGGGTTATAGTCTGAAAAAGACAGACATGAGAGAACGAGAAGTGGGGGCGCTGTTTCACATATATGAACAGTCTCGGGTGCAGAAATATTTTTCATCAGAAAAGTTTCTGTCCCTGGCGTACCTCCAACTGAGGTTTTTCACTGACTAAAGTCAAAATGTGGAAACGTGGTCCTCTGCCGACCTCTAGTGGTGACAGAAGTGACCTTCATCGTTCGGCCAGGGTTGAGTTTAGTTAATCGGTTATATATTTTGTGACATGTAGAGAATACTAAGGCATTGACAGTCAGGATAGATTCTTAAATCTGATAACATCACCATGACAGACTTTGACATTTCTAAACTTTTCAGTAAGAAGAGTCATCTTTGACTTTTACGTACCAGTGCCACGGAGGGGCTTCTTGTCGGTCTTTGATTTCAGAACAGTTGGCGTTGGGTTCGACTGTTCACCAGTCTGTGGAGACAGACACTTGTCAGATCATACAGTGACAAACACTGTCACATTGGTGTGTGTGTGTGTGTGAGAGAGAGTGAGAGAGAGAGAGAGAAAGAGAGACAGACTGTGGTTAAAACTAGTTATCAGACTGCTTCTAGTTATTAGTCAGTGTCTAAGTTTTTTATGCATGTCCATTTAACTGATGTTTATGTAATTACTGCAGAAAGAAAAAGACTAAACATACAACAGAGGAAAGAAAACGCAAAAAAGGCAGTGGCGACGATTACAGCAGAACCACGGGAAACCCAGTGTTTTTAGTTTTCAAGTAAGATCTTCTGAAGAGTCCAGCAGAAACTGACCTGAGAAAGTTTGGCAGATCCTTTGTAGCTTTTTCCTTGTTGAACGCTCTCCCAGATCTCAATTTTCTGCTTCCTTTTCTCCTCCACTTGCTGTCATAAAGAAAAACACACCACGGTGACTACAGATGGAACATGAGTCCAGACAGAAACAGATAGATGCTGCTGTTGGTGGGTAACAGAGGACAACCGCACAGAACAAAGACAGAAACTGGAATGAGTTTCAATGATGAAAACAACACGTTCAAGGGATGTCAAAGTTACATTTTAGCTTCATTTTCACTGCACCTGTTTCTGTTTCTCTATAAAAGCAGACGCCCTGGCATCCAGCTCCTCCTGCATCCTCCTTCGAGCCGCCTCCATGGCTTCATGTCGTTGTTTCACTACGACAGCATCTTCACACACAAACACACACAAACAAATCTTAATTCTTAAGGACTTTAAACCCTCAACTGTGCATATTTGAGATAGATTTGCTTCAACTCTATGGACAATGACATTTTTACAGTAAAAGTGATGTAATAATGTGGTGCCATACAAACTGGATCAGAGGCCAGCCCTTAGGAAAATGATCACTGCTGAAAAATGCTTATCCACTTGACAAAACTGAACAAAAACAAAAGTCTAACTCAAGTCTTCGAGTCTTGGTTGAAACATACTTAATCTCTTACATTAACAATTAGAATAAGAAACATTTGACATAAAAGCCTATGCGTTGATCCCAGTGTGTTGTATCAGATTTTGGAAGTTAAAAATGTACTTGTTATAATCAGTGACGTTGTCAACATGGCAGAGTAAACAGATTAACAGACAAACAGCACTGAGGAAATGAACTTGACTTCACTTCCTGTTAGCAGCATCCTCATCAACAGATGAAACAGTCTACTGCTGCACCTCACCTTCAGGCGTTGCTGTGTCACTGCTGTGGCTCCTGCTGGAGCTTCTTCGGTTCAGGTGCTGGATGAGCAGGTAGACCAAGACACACACCAGCAGCAGGTACCATCCGTACTGGGACAGAAACTCTCCTGCTGTGGGTCACAGAAGGAGGACATTCAGATACTTTCATATGTCCGTGTCTAAATACTATTCCGAGGAAATAGGTAAAATATTGTCACAATATTCTTTAAAAAATGTTACAAAAGCAAAACAAAGCACTTCGTTTTCCTCCTGCAGTACAAGTCGTATTTACTGCTGACCGTTCAACTGTATTCATGAAGCAAATATTTAATCTGTGGCCTTTTTGTTTTTATCATTTAAAACTCGCTCTGTATTTAGGTATTTTTATTTACCAGCCTATATCACTTTGATCACACAGGTGTCATCCAAGCTTTCATAAATTCTTTTGACAGCTAGCGCTAAAGCTAAGTTAATGCTAGGAAGCTAATTAACAGCTAACAAGCTAACTCGGGTTGTTGTTGTTGTTGTTGACATGGTTTACAATAGTTACCAGTCAGCTAATTCAGCGGTAAACAGGTTGAATCGCAGACACAAGTGGTAAACAAGTTTATAAACAAGGTGCTGCTGTCCTCACGTCAACCCGACTTACCCATCATGCCCAGCGTACTCAGGTCCTGGTTATGGGGAGGCGGTTGTTCCACTCGGTAATTTCCTCCACCGTCACCGACCCCTACTTTGTCCATGATTGACTCGCTCTTACTCTGGATTTCCGGTGAACAGTCGGCTAACAGCTCATCTGCTCAGTTAACCGGTTATTATTTTTCTAATGTCCGCTGTCGTCTGCAGACGTGGCTCTTTTATATTTGATGACTCTTCTTCACTGATGTTTGACTAAACCGCTTTACAGAGATACTCCCGCCCCCTACAGGGGGGCTGTGGTGTTGCTCAGGACGGACTGACGTACAAGTTAGTGACACGCTGCGTTGCCATTGAAACATTTCGGCGTTGAGTAAAAACAGGTGTCAAGAATATGACTGGAGCGACTCCAGCTGATTCAGAAAAATCCCTGAACCATTGTTTGGTTTAACCACTCATCATCACCCACCATCACCGTATATGGAACCCAGAACCTGAAATATCTGGTCCTTAAAAAAAAAAAAAAAAAGTTGTAAAAAGTTATTTTAACTATAAATCAAACACAGATGGAGCTGCAGACTGAGTATAGTCTACTAAGTAGTAGTAAGCAGTAAACAGATGTAAGTCAGATTTCCAAAAATCAACAAAATTTGTTTAATGAAAGACATTTTACAATATTAAAAAAACAACGCTGCTTAAAGTATTTTAAACATATTACATAAAAACTAACAGAAACTGGACTTTGTTTGGAGGCGTTTAGGAACCGTTGACATGAGGTTCCTCATCCATGTCTTGATTCTCAACGTTCATGTCCAGATCAGGAGCTCCACCCATCTGTGTCTCCATCTGTTCACTCTCCTCCTCCTCCTCTTCCTCTTCCTCCACCATGCTCGCTGCACCTGAGTGTACAAACAAATACACTTATTTTCTGTGGCAAATTATAAAATCCTCAAAAAAGCAACTATACCATTTTTCTATAGTATTTTACTACTTCAAAACACTGGGTGTGTGTGTGTGTGATGAAGCTGATTTTACCACATTTTCACTTATGCTAATTTTAGCAGCATAATTTATAATCATATGGCTTTTTTAGTTTTTTAGCAAACTACTTCTACTACTTCTCATGTACTTTATGCTTTTATTTTGTAAAACATTTCCACTGCCTTTTCTTGGTGTAGTTTTCAACCACCAGGGAATCAAAGGGGACATTGTTTTAGCTAATAAAGAAATAATAGGGTTTAACAACCATTTTTAAAGTTAATTCAACAATGTTAATAACAAGTAATAATAATAATAATAACTCTCCTCCTCTGATTTTACAGCTATTAAAGTTAATTCAACAATGTTAATAACAGGTTTAATTCTCTCCTCCTTTGATTTTACAGCTATTTCACAACAACCTTCTGAACTAGTTGGTTTTGCCTAACTATAATTAAAATAAATCAATATGTAAAATTATAAGTGAGGAATCAGGTTTTCACACAAACATCAACCAATTATTTTAATGCCTTGCCCTCAGGACCCTGTGGTAAACATGTATACACAGTATGAATAAGAAATAAAAACAAAGTTTTTAATTCTTAAATTTAATTTTAATCGTGTGAGTGAGGAGCAGAGCTCGGTGTCACTGACCTGATCTAAGATCTCGCCCTGGGATCTGACCAGCCTGCAGCATCCCCTTCAACCTCTCCACCTCTGCCAGAGACGATGCATTGGCGATGGCGTTCTGAAGCAGAAGAACAACGTCAAATCAATCAATCTGCAGCGAGGATTGAAAACGTCATCAGGTCTTTGTTTATATTTTTGGTTTATTCCAAGTGGGTAGAGCCAAAGTCAAAGCCACAACATTAGATAAATCAGCTGAACCTTGACAGCTTCCACGTCTGCCTGTGAGGGCCCCGCCCTCTTCTTCTCAAGCTGTGCAGCGGCCCCTGGTGTGAATCTGGAAGAAAAGACACAAGTTAGCAGTGTGGACACAGCAGGGGGGCTTCTCTGACCTTTGAACCAGTGCAGTGACAGTCAAGTGTAGTTTCTTTTCTTAGGTCAAATATTCTGATGGTGCATCCACGGAGACAGCAGTCCTCAGCAGCTCCAGGCTGCAGGTTTGATTACACATGTCTGGAATATCACATCTGACTGCAGTTTAAAAACTCAGGGACAACTACAGGCCTTGTTAAAACCTGAAGGTGTGTTTTCACAGCATCGGTGTTAAGGTTACTTTGGTGATGTCACCGTGAGGAACAGAAAATGACATGTGATCAGTATTTATGCCACTGTTCTTTAAGCAGCCGGATCCAGAGGCTGAGGAGCTGCTGTCTGACCTGGACGTTTGTCTTACGTTTTCGTTCGCTTGGCAATATCCTTTGCGAGTTGAACACCTCGTTTGCCTTTGAACATTTTCTCCGCCTCCTGACGTTCCTATGATGATATCACACGGTTAAAGTGAATGAAATGCAGAGAGGGGGAGAGGGGAGGCGGTGGCCCGGCAGCAGAAGACACACTCACACACAAACAAAAGATAATAAACATCAGAATCTGATAATGTGGCTCTGCTCATGAGTTTCTGTGACATCATCTCACCTGGAGATCAAAGACTGAAGTTCAACAGGTGAGACTTTGATTAACTTTGTCTCACAACTTTTCTTTTTTTTTTTGGTGATATGAAGGTAGTGTTGTCAAGATACCAACATTTTCAATAGTGATATACGATCAGAACAGACAAAGGGCTTAAAAAAAGAGAAAAATGTAAGTGCCTGTGTGACTGGAGGAGGAAAAGTTCAGATCATTTGGCTCGTCCTCAATATTTTGTACCACAATGAAAATAACCAACAACAGAAAGTTTTAGGAACATTTTTTGGTTTGTTATCAATGGAGCTGCTGTGTTGAACCTACCTTTAGCTTTACCTTCTGGAAATCCAGAACCCGGACCTGGGGGATTTTGTTGATGACATACAGCCTGTAATGTTTCTTGTTGGTCACAGGATTCCTCAAAAGGCTGAGAACACGTTTTAGAAACAACTTTAGGATAAAATTCAGCACAAGGTAAGACAGTTCTAGGATCAGTCACTCAAAAAATCTCACCTGAGGAGACTGAGTGTCTTCACTGAAGCCAGAGGATCCAGGTCTCCCTATACACACATTGAATCAAAAACCACATCAGTGAGGAAATATACAGTGGAGAAAGTGAAGAACCAAACATGTACTCACCAGGTCCTGGATGTTGTTGTTTGTGAGAACCAGTTCTTTGAGATTTGGCAGACACTGTTCCAGACTCTCACCTATACGACTGGAGAAACACTGTGTCGTCAGGTTCACTCAAACAGAAACCGCTCTGTGAAATCTGACAGCCTGTCCTGAGGCTTGAATGCCCGACCTGTAACATCTTGTAGTTTTCCAAGCTGAGCACTGTATAAAACATGTTGAGCTAAGAAAATGTTGTACGTTTTAACTGGGACTTACCAAATCTTGTTGTTGTTCACTAAAAGTGTTTTTAGTCTTTTCAGCAACGGAAAGCCATCCAGTTTTCTGACTTCATTATCAGAAAGGTCAATGGTGTCAAACTGGTCCAGAGTTGCTCCAAGATTTTCCAGAACTGGGATTTTATAACCTGTGACAATAAAAAGCGAGGACAGTGTTTTGTCTTTACAAATAAGTAGCAGCCTCAGTGGAGTGAAGAGTTAATATTTTTAGTTCTTTCTAACATAATTATTACAACAGACGGTGAAAATGATACAGGTCTGCTGCAACAGAGAAGGAATGAGTGAATGTAATTTGTTATGATGAGCCAAAAATAAATCTTTGTGGCCGTAACAGCTGTTTGAAGTGCGGCTGTGAAGATGCTTCTGTTCATTCAGTACCTCCTGTGAGTTTGCAATAAACTTCAGTTTCTAGATCTAGTTGTTTTATTTTGATGTGAAAATAATAATGTTTTGTAGGAAACGAACCTTACCCAAAACCCCTTCAACTTTATACATCACTGTCATTGATAGAGAGCAGTCGCATGACCGCGCACAGCGCAGTACATTGATTGAACTAGTCTTACTCTCAAAGCAGTTTTAAAAGTAAGCAACTGGACTCAGAGAGGCGAAACGTCTTCAATTTACTTGTGATGAGTCATGTTGCCGACTTTTAAAACTGATTTTGAGACCAATATGATGATCTGGATAACTAAAATTACAGGTATAAACAGGTATAAACTAGCATTACCCCTAACGTAAAGCAGGGAAATGTCGTGATTTGAAACGACAACGCGTCGTTAAATTCGTACATTAGTTATAACGCACATACACGCCAGAGTCTGGATGATACAGAAACTGTGGCTACACCTGGTCAGGTGTTTGTTTAAACAATGATAGCCTCAGAATAAGGCGTTCACATGAAGCTGGACTCGAGGTTTTGTTAGCCATTACATGCTAATGTTATTGCTAAAAGGAACGCGGCGGGAAGAGAATACACATATACAGTTACCTCTTAAATCCAGTTCTCTGTCTCTGACCGGGTTGGTGAACTGAGCAGCCTGCTCAATCATCTCGGCTGTTAACTTCACCATCACGACAATTTTATTTTTTAATGTTAATAAGTAGCTGCAGCATAAACACACGCTGCATAAGCTGCCTCTGTCTACGAATGGAGCGCCGGTCACTTCCTCTTATATAAAAATGGCGGACGGAAACGCTCGTGAAGTTTCTGTACCGCCATCTACTGTATAGGAGTATGCAGCAGGATCCTACAACGGTTTCCATGTACTGTAATTATACACAACACGTAACACCCATATTGCATGGTTGCGTGTCCATGTGTTTGTCCATGTCCATACCTCTGTCAGGCGGGGACCAGCGGTCCCCAACCGACAAGACCAGACCAGAAATGAGTCAAGCGTCTTGACATGTATTAAATGTCATAGACCAGGGGTGTCCACACTTTTTTGGCTTGGGAGGTACTACAAATGACCGGGGTAAAGTGATCTACCTACATTGAAAAATACTTCTATGTATATTCTATGAATCCTTACTTTAGCCCTTGTGATTAGCATCCTAAAATATAGTTAAATCTATCATTTTTAATTTTTTTGTTTCTTTAAATGTAATTGCTCAGGATCTATCCGCACTACCTTTGAGATCTACTGGTAGATCCCGATCTACTCATTGGGCACCCCGGTCATAGACAGATGTGACAGAGGGAATCTGGTCATTTTTCAAAATAAAACGTTGTTCAGAATCAGATAATAAATAAAACAGAAATAACGTAAGTTATGCATTATTTCTATGCGGCCCAGTACCAATTGACCCACGGACCGGTGCCGGAGACCACTTGAATAGAGGAAGGAGACAAGGTAGTGTAGTGGTAGGACGAGGAACTGCAGCCACACCAAACAAAGGTTCTGAAACATCAGGTCATCAGTGCAGAAAGAATGAAAAAAAGATAAAATAGTGATATTGATAGTTTAATGGTGTGATGAAAATAAACCAGTTCACCTACTATACTGTCTGTACAGTATGATGTCACCTGTTCCTTTTATCTACTTTGATGTGACATGTTTGAGACATGAGGTATAAGTTAGTTCCCATTACCAAACGTAGCCACAATTTATTCACACAGTGATGTCAACAACAAATCTAACGACTGATGCGATGACGCTAACGTCCTCCCCAAAACAACACAACACCTGAACCAGCCCTGGGTTTGTTTGTTTGTTTGTCCGTTTATCCACAGTAGATCAAGACAGAACATGGAGCTGATGGAGGACACATACATGGACATGCCAGAGATGCAGGCCCTTCTGTTCGTCAGCAACACAGTCTACTTTGTCCTCCAGAGGACGGACGCACTCAGACGCCTGTCCAAAGAAGAAACCACCTTCCACATCAAACGTCTGGCCAACCGCACCATGAGGGGACTTAGCTTCGTAGAGGGACACCTGCCAGACAACGACGAGGCCTGGCCGCTGTCCAAGGACATGGTAGATGAGCTGGAGAGCGAGTACGGCAACAAAGTGGTGCACATGCTGCTGGACACGCATCGGTTTGTGGAGGCCGCTGTCGTCCTCTGCCTCTACAGGAACATAAAGATGTTGTTTGAGGAGAAAGAGCAGACTTGTTCTCCCAGCTGCAGCAGGTGTCTGGTCTTCTCACTGGTTCCTGTTCTGATCCTGGTTTCTATTGGTCTGTTTTTTATTTTCAAGTTTTAGCTTTCTGCACATACAGTAGGAGACGTACGGTTTAAAGAGCAGAGAGAAGACACAGTGACAGAGTGTAGATACGATAACGGTCGGTGTCACTGCAGGAGATTTGGAAAGACAGAGGCAGATGATTGGCTGACACCAAAGGAAACAGCACAGTATTCCATAAACACCAATCCTCCATCCATCCATCCATCAACCACTTTATATCCAGTTCACATGGACTCGTTCATCTTTGTCAAAGATTCATTGGCAGCAGTTCAATGACCCTGGTACTGTTGGTCTGTCAAAGGTCGTCCCATAAGACCAGAATACTTTTCATCAGGAAAGAAGGTTTTCTTTAGCAGGAAATCAACGAGCCAGCAGATATTTGAGATTCTTCCCTCAGACATTTTAATCAAGTTCAGATCCTGTCAGTGACGATAACCATAGTACCAGGAAATGATAGTACCAAGAAGAAGACATTAATCAGATGACCATGTGTGTCATACACCCAACTCTCCAGTCATCAGCAACCAACACCACCCTTAGGGATAGTACCGATAACTAGCAATAGGAGCTAGAGTGGCACAGTGGTAGGAAGTGGTTTTGGGTTCCATTCCACTTTGTGGGAGATGAACAGGGTACAAAGCAATTGAAATCCAACACACAAACATTTATAAAACAGGTGGAAATATATAAAATCTAATCACATACCACTAGAGGGAGTCCAAGTACCACTCACGTACGTATTTTTGTTTTAAAACTACTGGCCTAAATCATTCTTAAACCTCCAATCATACTGTATGGGATTGCAGGAACAGCAATAATGTAAAAGACCAGCCGAGGGCAGTGTTGGACTGGTGCCAATGGCTGCTCCATCATGCTAGCCCTGATGGCTGCTCCATCATGGTAGCCCTGATGGCTGCTCCAAACAGCTGAATCAGGAGGGTTTCAATTGCAGGTTGTGTTTAGATAAAGACACACCTTCACACAAACACAAACGCCCAGTTCACACCTTTCATGTCCGTTCAAACATCGCTAACCTTAATAAAACCGCAAACATGTTTGACGCGTACAAATATTTGAGCAAACTTTACGGGAAAGTTCAGTGGATTTTTTTCATTCCAGCACAAATCATTAATTTATTAATGAAAAAATCTAAACAAGCTAAAGCTGATGTCATTCAATAGTGTTTCACCTTGACATTAGTTTCATTCCTTCTCCCTAAGTTACTGCAGGTTTTCAGTGGTTTTCAGGTCCTGGCTCAGGGAGCTGGGAGTACACACCAGGTTCTGTCTCTAGTTCCTGTCTTTGGTTCCCACGAAGATAGTTCCCAGTAGTCCTGTCACCAGTATCTGCAGCGGAAGCACACCTAGTTCCTATCAGTAAGAAGGGACAAATTACTACTGTCCTTTGTCACTGGTACTGAGGTGGAAAAAGATATTTTAGTATAGTAGTAATGTTGTCATTATGATACTACACCTTGGTTGGGAATGCACTTTCAAATACTTATGTATCTGTAACTTTCAAATACTTATGTATTTGAAAGTTTTAAATACTTTCAAATACTTTTACAAGTATACTTTTACAAATTCTGGTGGCGGTGGTTGCTCACATAGTACTTACTAATATCCCTAGTCCCCAGTACTAGTTTCTACAGTTGACAGTGATAGTACATAGGTCCAGTAGTACATAGTTAGAAAATAAACCTCAGCAATGGTGGCCAGTAGGGGGCTCTGTTTTCATGTTTATATTTACCGTAGCTGCTGTTGCTACATAACAGTCACACGTCAACCTTTATTTATTTACTCTCCTGTAATTGTTCGCCCTGTGCGTCAAATCAAACACCCAGTTATCATTCTGTACTGTATAAACAATCATTTGAACACTGCTGTACATAGATTAGCATATATGAAGGTAAGTCAAAAAGTTCCAAGACAGATGTAGAACCATTTCAATAATCAGAGAAAAAATGCATCTTTAACCAAACTAAAGGTTTTTGATCTCACTCCACCTGAAGGTTGCTTCATCTTCATAGAGAAGACACATCATCAGATGTGTCTTCTCTGGCAGAAATGACAGCTCTGCTGCCACCTACTGGAATAGTACTTAATTGTTGTGCCTGCCATTGTGACACAGGGGAATTAAGACATTATTTGCAGCAAATAAAAAATTGTTTTCAGACCAATTTTCCACAGGACATGTGGGGATCTCTCACAGCATACTAATGTGCTGCCACCCAGTGGTTGAAAATCATTTGACCTTCTGGTCAACATTATGAAATCCTGTAGCAATTTTGACCCCTCTTTTTCCTCTTGCATAAAAATGAACTTGTGACGGTAGTTCTTTACTATCAGGATGCTAAAGCAAGACACTAAATGTCTCCTGATGGCCTGAAAGCGTCCAACAACGTAAACCATTCAAATTATCAGAAGTGACAGGAACCACGTGGAGACAACCCAGGTGGGGGCAGTACACCCAAGCATCACTTCCTTCTACCTCTGATGATGGCGTCTTCTGCGTCTCTTCTCGTAACTCGCGTCCTTAAATCAGAGAAATGAAGATAATTGACTGTTTGACGTACCTATGAGTAAGACAAATGTTGAATAAAAGTAAATATCCTTGTTTACCGACAATGAATAGCTGTACTCTCCACCCTTCATCCTGTGAATCCGTGTGGCACCGCCTTGCTCAAAGGCACTGTGTCAAAACTGATCGAGGACTGGGAAATGTCAGACCAAAGGCCCAGATCTCCCCTTTCAGGAATTCAGCCATTCACACTCACATTCACACCTGTTAGTGTGAATTTAGAGTGAACAATTTGTCATGTTTTTGGAGCAACTGGAAAAAAAACCACATGAACTCGAACCAACAACTTTAACTGGTAAAAAATGTTTGCCCAAAACCAGGTGAATAATTAAATCACGAGAGAAGAAAGAAAAGAAAAAGACAATGAACCAACACCAGGAATATTTGACTGGGAATTGGTGATAATAAATCAATACACTGATGGAGGAGATTGATACAGTATCAGGAAAGGAAATCTGGTGACACATCAGTGACTGATATTTTCTCACAGCCTCAGCTGAGACTGATCTGGTGAATTAAAATGACAATTTCCATCTTCCAAAAAAACAGACACTTCTGTTGTTTCAGTGCCGACCAGTTTTAGAAACTTCTGTTTTCATCTACACTGACCCTCTGACTGAATCTGTGTTAAACTAATGAATATTTCATCTACAGGACATCACCCTCTCAAACCAAAGGTAAAAAATAGAAGCTAGATACAGGAAAACTCTGATCCATCAGATGTTCACCACAGTGGACCATCTGCCTCCATCCCACCCTCCAGCTCCATGTCCTCTTTCTCCGGTCTCTTCACCTCCAACACCTCCACTGTCTCTCCTCAGCTCAGAGCTAAACCATCTCCACCCCACCTTCTCTGACTCCATCTCCTGTCCATCCTGGTCACCCCCAGTGAAGATCTCAACACGTTCATCTCTAACTCAGATTCTACTGTTTATGTTTATAGTGTAGCGGCTATCACACCTGCCTTACACCCAGAAGGTTATGGGTTTGAGCCCCAGTAGAACCACATACTCTAGCCTCCTCAACTATCATGAATGACCCATGACCCTGGTCCCCTCACACTGCTCTTCATCTCTGTTGAGTACTGTCCATCGAGCTCACTGGGCCACACTGGTGATTGTGGGCCGGCCCCTTATTTCAATGCAATTAGCTGGGTCATGATGTATAACCCTGCAGCCCTCACGTGGTGAGGGGCCAAAGGAGGGGGTTAAAAGACAATTGGGGGTTGGACCAATCACAGCCAAAGCCCTCTCCCCAGTGGGCTAGTCTCGGCTCAAAATGCCAAGGTCGATACGTTGGTCGACTGCTGACCCTAACCCACCCACCCCCAGAGTGATGACATCATCATTCATTTAGTCTACGTACGGCACATTACGAAAACGCACTCACAAACACAGAGGCTCTGTGAAAACAGATCCTGACAGGATCCACATCCTGGAGCCAGACTGCCGAGTCATCAACACCAGCCAAACAAACAGCCTCTCCTCCTTAGAGCAACACAGGGTTGTGTTCACACCCCAACTATGATCTGCACTGAGCTGATGGAGTGACGGGCGTGGACCACGGTGTGTCCACGCAGGGAACCATGAGCCACAGTTGTCCCACGGTCAATATCATGTCTCAAACATCTGTTTGTTTTTCCCCTTACTTTTCTATGAGTGTGTGTGTGTATGTGTGGTTTAATTGCAACAACGAGACTTGATGGTGACAGGAAATAGATTCAAGAAAACATCCGTTGTCAACCTGGGGACTTGGTGCTACACTTTAAAGGATTCTCGTATAAGAAGTACTATCAGTACTAGCCTTCAATGGATACTATAGTATTTTACTACAGTATCTTTCGTGTCTATAAGTGGCTGCTATAATGTTTTTATCGCTGGCTTTGTTTGTGACAAAAAGTAATTTAAAGCTACAAATTTTCATGTAAGTGCTGGTGGAGGAAGCAGTGTTTGTGTATATATATATACATACAGTATATGTGTGTGTGCACACTGCTGGCCATCTTGAACAGTGCCACTCTGCATCAATCATCAGAGACTGTTTTGTCACAGGCTCCGCCTCCAAAGAGCAGAACAACAAATTAAAAATTATTTTGTCTAGTCTAATTGCTAGGGGGGGGCAAATGACTGGTGGATGTACATGCAACAGCATGCAGTAGATGCAACAACTGTGCAATAACTATAAAACCGTCCCCTGTTCTTTTCTTCTTCTGTCACTAGAACAACAGTAGAACAACAGTTTCTGCGTCGCTACGATCAGAAACATTGATTTTCTTAAAGGTCTTTAAAGAGAGAGTGGTTCACCGACGCCCCCTTCTGTCTTCTCTACCTACAGTCTCCATATTAATTAACCCTGTTATTTGAAGGTTTGTTGAGTCGGTGCCACATCACTGCCTCTGTTGTTTTGGTTGTTGCTGCTGCTGCAGTGAACCACTGAATTAAACAGCCCGTCACCGTCCCACGGACTTCTTCTTCTTTTAAAACAGAATTATGTCGATGATATTATTTATTATCTGACTTTGTGATGTAAAAATAGTCAAGAGCTAGTCAATACTGATAGATGAGACTGAATTTGTCAGTATCACCATCGGCTCCTGAAGTACACGTTAGATTTTTCCTAACGTTACTGCAACAAACCTAACTTTTAAATTCGACCGAATGTTGAAGAGTTTCAGATCGACGACAAATCTTTCTTCAGCACCAACCTCATCAACGAGAATAAATGAAATGTAGTTGGGAAAAGAAAACAAAGAGAAACAGAACATACACTCAGAGCATGTACTGTGACCACTATGTGTACTATGGCACTGGAGTATTTTCAATGTTTACACCAAGATGAAGCTTTTGTGTGACTAAAGTTTGATTTGTCACAGTGATGATTTCACCTGTAGATGGGGCTGAAAATACTGTCAAAACATCCCATGCCAACACCATGTGACGACCACTGAGTAAAAAAAACACAACGACCCCACTGGTACTAACAACTGGTACTCCTGAACACGCTGTGGGTCTTTAATATAACACATATATTTTCTTGCACAACCTCCCCTTAGTGGTGAAGTGGTAGGTGCTCTTGCCTTACAGCAAGACGAGCACAAGTCCACAGTCCACAAACATTAGGCTAATGGTTTTTACTTGACTACAGGTGTGAAGGTTTGTGTAGTGAACCTGGTGAACCCCCCAGGATGTTACCCCAACCCATTCAAACCAGTCTGAACAACAACTGTTACAGTGGACCAGAACAGAGAGAGAGACGAGTACCAGGAAGGCCAAACCAGAGGCCACAAATACTGGGCAGAACACCAGTGAATACTCCACTACACTCCAACTGGCTTCTGACCACTGCTTCTTACGCTGACGACACAGTGCTACGTTTATCTTTTTTTTTTTAAAAACAACAAAATGCTAGTTAGTGGCTATATTTGACATCAGAGACAGAGGTGGAGATCCAGAGGTCTGAAACAGCACCAGGTGACTCTGAAGCACGTACAGGTGTCCAATAAGAAGCTGGTTCATGTTGTGCTGCACCTGAATGATGTTTTGGGTTAAGTTAACTGTAAAAAACTGGTATAATGTTCAGACTGTCATGGTTTAAAGAGGACAGAACCAGAACTCAGCCTCTGTTTGAACCAATCTTCTTATCGTCTTCTGACAGACACAACGGAAAGAATTCAAATAATTGTTAGTGCTGAAAATGGTTGAATTTACATTCAAGCCCTGCTAAATATGTTCACTTTGGAAGTTAGTCATCACAGGGCTGGTGAACTTTCTCCTCTGATGAACAGAGAGAAACTGGAGTGGCAGCGATGGAAGCCACAGAATGTTTGCTGAGAAAACAAACAGTGGAACCTCCTGTACGGCCAAAGACGTATGTCAAAGATGAGGAGCTGCCGGATCCTCCCTCCTCCACCACCTCCATCACCAAGACGACGTAGCTCCACCTGGATGCTTAGGACAGGTGGAAGGGGTTATAAAGTCTGCTGTGCTCCAGCTCTGTCCTCCCAAACTGCTCCAGTCCTCTGGACCAACATGGGGACTTCAAGAATCCAGAATACCTTCTGGTTCTTTTTCCTGACGCTGCTGGTCGGCGCTCACTCAGGTCAGTCGGACGCAACCATGACAGATGTCATACTGGGAAAAAAATAGAGATTTTATATATATGACGATGAAATATACTACATGATAAAATAATGTGTAGAGATGTGGTCTGAATTTGGCATTTCTTGTTATTTACAGAATTTTTAAATCCGTTTGAGAGGGTTTAAAATCTGGACACATTCTTTCTTTGTGCGACAGTAAATGTTTGTAAAATTTTACAGTAAAAAGTTTCTAAAGTAAAAAGTAAAAAGTATTTATACATAAAATATTTAACATTGTTAAAAACATTAATATTTTATTTCACCTGTAGACAAATAATTTGGTAGCTTAAAAATTATACGATTTTTAAGTATTGATGGACCGATATATTGAAATGAATTATATTTCACAACAAAATACAATACGTTATAATATATAATGTAGTGGGAAATTCATGATAGAGCAGAAGAGTTTATATATGTTGATGACATGTACTGTAGTTTTCCATGACAGATGTACGGTCAATAAAAAAAAAAACGATTTCATTGGTAAACGAGATTTGTGAACGTTTTGTTACGTTTTTTTTTTTGTTGCCATAATTCACGTTAGTTGGTAGTTATCTGGTTCTAGATCTTCTGAGAAACTAGGAACCGTTCCATTAAAAAATACTGAATTCAAATCGTAGGATCTGAGCGGCGAGGGAGCGGCCAATCAGAGAACCAAGAATTGGCCATAAAATATTTTTGTTTAAAACAAAGGAAATGGTTATAAGCATTTTTGGCATTTTCCAGCCAAACCAGTTTTCTTACCAACTTTGACCAACTTTTTTGTAATCACTGAGCAATATAAATTTTTAAAGTTTTTAGTCCAAAAGTTCAAATCTTTGGCCATGCATTTGGCTTTCGCTGGAGAAAAAAAAGTTTTCTCCAGCCTCTCCGCTCTTCTTTTGGCTAACCTTTGGACCGTTTTTAACTAACTTTTCTCTTTACCAATGGTACCGAACATTTCTAACTAGCATAAATGTGGCCGTACCTTTTGTTTTTGCCGTAAGATGAATTAATTTCTCGCTGACTCTTTTGCTTTTGCAGAGTCTCACCTCGACCATGTGTGCACCACCTGGGGGCACTATCACATGAAGACATTTGATGGACACTTCTACCAGCTGCCCTCCACCTGTAACCACGTCATGGCCATGCAGTGCAACGCTTTGGAAGAAAATTTCAACATCCAAATGCAACGCAAAGTTGTGGACGACATCCCCACCATCGACAAAATCATCATGAAGATCGATGGAACCGTTGTGGAGATCAATAGAGACGGTCAGAGTGTCAACGGAATTCCGTAAGAACATGAAAAAGCATGAAAAAGCAGTTTTTTAAATTAACTGAAAAGCTTAATTTGCCTGCAGATGTTTGCAGACGATGTGGTTATTTTTCCATTCAATTTCACGACGCTGGAGTAAAAATGTGTTTTCGCATTTCTACGTTGCAAAAAATAAACATTTGGACAATTTGATATCCTTCGGATGAGCAGATTGTTGTTGCTCTTACCTCTTCCCTTTCTTCTCATGGAGTTTGCTCTTGTCCCCATGTAGGGTGACTCTGCCACACATCACCTACGGCGTGTCACTGAGGGGGACACAGTCCAGTATCACTGTAGAATCCAAAATGGGGATCATTGCCATCTGGAACCTGGACGACTCTCTGGACGTAAGAGCTTTTATTTGATTGGTTTAGGGTTAGCTTACCTTCAACATTGTTATTTTACTTTACATTAGCTGGAATATCTGTACAAAGGTAACAAAATTAGCTAATAATTTCAAGCCACCCCCCCTTGAAATTCACCAAAAGAAAAAAAAAACAATCAGCAAATTTAAATGAAAGCAAATATAAATTTGTTTGCAAACTTAGTCTAGACACAGACTAGTCAAACAGTTAACCAGCAATCTGAGTTACATAAAAAAATACCTAAAACTAGATAAATGTTCTTCCTGGTTAAAAATGAGTCCTTACAGTATATCCTTGATGATTTTTTTTTATATTCCTACTTGCTGTGCACACAGGTTAATAAGTAGGTGACTAAGTTAGTGCCCTAGAGGGTGACTAACTCAGTGACTCAGTAGGTGACTAAGTTACTGCCCTAGAGGGTGACTAAATCAGTGACCCAGTAGGTGACTAAGTTACTGCTCTAGAGGGTGACTAAATCAGTGGGCCAGTAGGTGACTAAGTTACCGCCCTCGAGGGTGACAAAATCAGTGACTCAGTAGGTGACTAAGTTACTGCCCTAGAGGGTGACTAAATCAGTGACCCAGTAGGTGACTAAGTTACTGCCCTAGAGGGTGACTAAATCAGTGACTCAGTAGGTGACTAAGTTAGTGCAGATTACAGCAGCAGCAGTAAAAGCTGAAGGTCGGCTCAGCTCATTAACCCCAGTACAAAGAGGCAGCTGTTTAACTTGGGCGTGACCGTGGAACCCAGAATAAAGAATAAACATTTACCATCAAACAACATAAACCAACAATTAAACAGCAGGGACTTTAATGCTGTTGCAACACTGAGCAGTGACCAAAGGAAATAGTTTTGATTCCATTCAAATCAATGACACTTTTGATGTAGTCCATTAGAATGTGGGCCATGATTTCTGGGTGTGTGGTCCATAAATCTGGAGCTGGATGCTGATTCTGAGTGTGTCTTTTCCTTAGATTGAAATCGACGAGAAGTACAAGAACCAGGTCTGTGGGCTGTGTGGAAACTTTGATGGTGTGTCCAGTGACTTTGTAGTCGATGGTAAGAAGTCTGTGTGTGTGTGTGTATGTACTGTGAATATATGTAAATATTTGTATTTATATTTTTTTAGGTGCAAAGGCTATGTCTAGTAAAGTTCTTTCCCTCTCACTGAAGGAGTATTTTAAGTATTTTATATATATTTTATATGTACGTAGTAGTTTTTGGTTTACTCTGGGAGTGAGGGAAATTTTCACACTGTGTATGAGCCAAACAGACTTGACACTAAAGGAAAACGTTGACGGGACGATTGAAGTTGTAATAAGAGGGGGTGGGGGTAGCTTGCTGAATGTGTGTTAATAATCGCCTACTAAACTAAAATTTAACTAAAAAAAGTTAAATTACAGAAAATTACATTTGTAAAGTACTGCTGTGTTTCAGGGATCAGTCTGACGCTGTCGGCCTTCGCCCAGAACTACAAAATCAACGACCCCACCCAGTACTGTGAGGAGCCGGACATACAGGAAGTGGTGGAGTGTGGGAACCAGGTAGAGACGTGTGACCTACTGTAAAAGATAAAAACCTAAAAAACACGTTTGTCTGTGGGCTGAGACTTCGGGCCTGACACACGGGGCTGTACACCCCCAAAAACACCACAGCCACGTGATACATTCAGAAAAACTCAAAACTGATGTTGTTGGCTGTCATTTTTGGGCCACGTCGTTGTCTCTGCTCTCTCGTTTCCTTTGTTGACTTAATTCTTCTTTAGTTCTTGGTTTATCACAGTTGTGACATAATTGGCTTGGTTTGTTTTTGCTCTGTTTCCATTTTATTTTTTTCTCTGTCCTTTTTGTTCTGTTTAACCATTTGGACTCTTCTAACCTTTTGTTTTGTTTTACTTTGTTAACTTTCAAATATAATTGTGGAAAACGCTGTCTTACCGTGTGACGACGAACTCTCACTCTCCTCTTTGTCCACGTGTGTGTTTCATGTCCATGTCTGCAGACATTCTGTGAAGGGTTCTTAAACAGTGTGGCGTTCGCTGACTGTTTAGATGTGGTGAACGTCACTTCCTTCAGTCACATCTGCATGTCTGACATGTGCAATGCAGTCAACGACAGCAACGAGATTCTGTGTCAAACCATGTCAGAATATTCCAGACAGTGTATCCACGGCGGCGGCCAACCTCAGCAGTGGAGGAATCCAGACTTCTGCAGTACGTTCTCTGATTTGAATTCTCGCACTTCCTCCACCGCTCACGGCCTCATTTCAACATGAGTTTCATGTCGTTCCTCCTAGACGTGGAGTGTCCATCCAACCTGGTCTACTTGGACTGCAGCAGTGCTTGTCCTGACAGCTGCACCACGCCCCAGGCCAGTCTGACCTGTGACAACCACTGCCACGACGCCTGCGGCTGCCCTGCTGGTAACAACACAGAGGAAACTCAACTAAACAGATCATCTTTACCAGGGCTCAGCCTGTTGTAGGTGAAACACTGTGACGACCCCCAGAGCACCAGTCTGACATGTGGTCTGCTCCACAGGAACCGTATACGATGATATCACAGACACCGGTTGCATTGCACAGGATCAGTGTGCGTGTAAACATAACAACCAAGTGTACCAACCTGGAGAAACCTACACTGTCAACTGCAGAACCTGGTGAGGACCTGGACCAGTGACTCTGCACCTGTAGACACCTGCAGTCAGACCAGCAGTAAAACACAGCAGCACAGACCTTCACCTTTATTTACTTTAGTACAAACAGTAGCTAACTCTACACAGTGACTGCCTTATATAACAGCTAAGTGGCATAGCTAATCCCAAAAGTAATCAGGGTCATCTATGTACCACCAGAGGGAGCCAGAGCTACGTACATCAGTGTTACACAAACCCAGGTTTGAGCACCACTGTCTGAAAGACGCCTCAACCAGAACACACAAACAACCTCAGCGGGTGAAGAAGCACACCGTTTTTTAAATAAATATCAGTGGGGCATTTTAACCTTAACATTAGCAGGGCAACTAGCATCAGCCGAATTATGGGCAGGACATTTCAGCCAAACAACTCTATTAGTAACCTTGGTGACACCTTTAGCTTCGCTAGTCTTAGCAACACCTTTTAGCCCGAGTATCTGAAAGAATGTGACAACACTTTAGGTAAATCCTGTGTGTGTGTGTGTGTGTTCTCTCAGTGAGTGTCAGAGTGGCCAGTGGTCATGTGTTGAGGAAAACTGTCCAGGAAGTTGCTCTATTGGAGGCGGAGCCCACGTCAACACCTTTGATGAAAAAGCCTACACCTTCCACGGGGACTGCACTTACGTCATGACACAGGTAGGTGGTGTCATCACCCACGATGCCATTATGTTGCGTATTGTACCGTAGTACATCATATATAAATCACAGTATTACATATTATGTATATTATAAGAGCTTGTATGTTATGATAATGAATTCCTATTGTGCATAAACACAAGGAATACTGTCACATATAATACTGATCACTGTAAATTGTGCAGTACGTAGTACTGAGTCAAGTCGTATTTTTTATTATTTGACTGTATTTAATCAAATTCTATATCGTATTGTTTTGTAAAGTAATTAATTTATCATATATTATAACATGTGTATTGAATACTTTACTATTGTACTGTTATATTTATATCATGACTTACAATATTAAAATGTTATATATATAAATATATATTGAAAAGAATATTATTTATAATTATTGTGTTGTGATATCACAAGATTGTATCAAAATACATTGTTAAAATTAAACTTTTTTACCTTTAGGGTATCCCGTGGTGTCGATTGCATAATTAATTAAAATAATATAATATTGTCTTTGTCTTTTATTTCCTACAGACGTCCAACTCACTCTTCACTGTTCTGGTGGAACTTCACAAATGTTCTCTGACTGACAGCAGCACCTGCCTCAAATCTGTGACTCTGTCTCTCTACAACAACTCTGTGGTACATTAGTCTTTTTTACACCTTCACTTTGACAACGTCATTTCACACAGTTATTTTAATCTGTGAGATTAAAGTAGAGGTTTTTCAGTCTAATCTTCAGTCGTGTTTGTTTTTCTTCTTGGCTGAAAAATTTAAATTTATTAGTCACTCATTTTATGTCAATTATAAGAACATTTCTCACAAGAACTTTTTTTTAAAAATGTGACTTATTTATTTCGATTCAACCCATGTTGCCTTAAAAATGTTGGTGTTATGACTGACAACACTGGAAAATGTCTTCTGTAAAAATGTCCAGGTGATCAAAGTTCTGGGGGACAGACAGATCTTCATCAACCAGATCCAGTCACAGCTTCCACTTTTCACAGGTACATTAGCATTCACTGAGGGCCAAACCTAGAGTACCAGTACCGAGTCAATTCTTAGTGAATAATTCTCATATGTTTTGTCGTCTACGTCTACAGCGGAGGTCAGTGCCTTCAAACCATCGTCCTTCTACCTGGTCATGGACACCAAAGTTGGCTTACAGCTAATGATCCAGACGTCACCTAAGATGCAGCTCTCCATCAAGGCTAAACCTGCTCTCAGGGGCACCACATCTGGTCAGTTTTCTGTATTACAGTGTGTGGTTGACCTTTGACCCATCATTCAGTCTCTACAGTAACAACAATCTCTATCATTCAGGCCTGTGTGGAAACTTCAATGACATCATGAGTGATGACTTCAAGGTCTCCAGTGGCCTGACTGAAGGAACTGCAGCTGCCTTTGTCAACACGTTGAAAACCTTAGCCACTTGCCCTGACATCACCACTCGCTTCGAACACCCCTGCAGCCAGGGCATCAACAAAGGTACGGTGTTTCCCTTGACACCGTAAATCAATCCTACCACTCACCGACTTTACTTTGACGACAAAAGCTTTTCTTTTGTTTCCCATATCACAGAGAGCTACGCCAGTTATTGGTGCAACAAAATGGGAGACCCCTATGGAATGTTTGCTCCATGCCACCCCGTCATCAGTCCCACCGGCTACATAGAGGTGAGTCTGCACCCACAAACCTAGTGAGGAGTCGCACGGGTCCCACAGACCCCACAGACCCCACAGACCCCAGAGTGTGGAGGGGAAGAGGAGTTGAGTTCGGTTTTCACTTGCTCACAGCGCCTCCTTCCTGTCTGCCTCTCTCCAACAGAACTGCATGTATGACACGTGCAGCTGTGACCTGAGTGAGGACTGCATGTGTGCCGCCATCTCCTCGTACGCCTACGAATGTTCCGCTGCAGGAATCGCCCTGGATGGCTGGAGGAACAGCATCTGCGGTGAGTGGAGCAGCAGAAAGTTAAGTCTGTGTCTGGCTGAGAGACTGTGAACATGGAGGTGACAATATCTAACAGTGCAATGAATGAATTGGCATAAGAAATATCAATAAGACTAAGTTGTTTGAAGTTGTTTTTGAATAGTCAAATACACAAATATAACAAAAGAAAACTTAAAACATTTCAGCTAAGCTAACAGATAACCTTCAGATAAAGGACAGTCCACAAAGACTACATTTCCATCTCTTTTTCCTCTCAGGTAAATACACCAATTGTCCAGAAGTGACACAGGTGTACAGCTACAACATGACCACCTGCATGAGAACCTGCCGCTCTCTGAGTCAGACCGACTACTCCTGCATGGTCAACCACCCCACGGTGGACGGCTGCGGCTGCGATGTGGGCATGTACTTGAACGACGCCGGTGTGTGTGTGTCCAAGGGTTCTTGTCCCTGCTATGACAAAGACACCATCATTGCACCAGGGGAGACCTACAACAAGGACAGCATCACCTGGTGACTGTTTACCTGAGGCTGTGATTAATGGCAATATGAAGGTGCTG